ATCAATATATCTTAGAAAGATCTTTGGTTTTAATGGACATTTTTGAAGGGCTGTTTGTTCCCAGTTTGCCATGTAGATATTGGCGTAAGCAGGTGAAAATTTCTTTCCCATAGCAGTGCCTTTGATCTGAAGGAAATATTTGTTGTTGATTTGAAAGTCGTTGCAGTTAAGATTAACTCTTAATAACTTCATAAAGAACTGATCTGGTCGTTTGTTGTCAGGTTTTTGTTGCAGTATTTTTCGATTGCCAGTAAGCCTGTTTCTGTGTCTATATTGGTGTATAGATTCTCTACATCCATGGTGAAGAGGAAACAGTCGGTAGGTAGAGTGAATGATCTTATTTTTTGAATGAAATCACCAGTGTCCTTGACATAGCTGGGATGTAAAGTAGAGAGTGGATTCAGGAAATGGTCTATCCATGCTGCCGTCCTGTAGGATTCGCTATTACAGTCAGACACGATTGGGCGACCTGGTGGTATCTTATGTGGTATGGGCCAAGAATTCGGGTCTTTATGAATTTTTGGTAAAAGATAGAAATATCTTGGTCTTGGGGGGGATTGTCCTTTTAAGTATATTATTTCTTTATAGTTGATGACCCTATTAAGAAACATTTTGTCCAGAATATTGTGTATTACTTTAGTTGTATGTGGAAAAAGAGGTGTGTCCAATTCTATGTAGTACAGGGGATTGCATAATTGTCTCATTCCTTCCTCTATGTAATGTTGTTTATCCATAATAACAGTAGCTGTTCCTTTGTCGGCTGGTTTTATTACTATGTGGTTCATTTTTCTTAGTTGTGTTAAGGCCTGGATTTCACCTGTAGTTAAGTTTGGTTTTTCTTTTTGAAGTCTCAATTTTGAAATATCCATTTTGTCTTTTTGTATTAAGTCCAGAATTTCTTTGGGGACGTATTCGTCCTTTGGTTCCCACAAGGATGGGTCCTTAAATTTTGGGATTATCCTTGTTGGCTTGTGGCCAAAATAGGCCGCTATTTTTAGACGCCTGTGATAATTTTGAATTAAAGCTTCAGTAAGTTGTCTGTGATTAGGGAAAATTGTATTTGTTGGGATAAAGGTTAAGCCTTTCTTTAATAGGTCGGTGTGATCTTTAGTGAGATGAAGAAATGAGGACAGATTCACAATTGATTTTTAACTCGAGTCCTGTTCTCTGTGGGGGTCCTTTATCCTAAAAAAGATAACCAGTGTTCCCACACTATTTTTCCTGTGGTGCTGGTCCAGTGAATGTCATCACCTGAGGTTTTAAACCTGGAGGTAGGTAGGGGGGGTATGTCTTGCTGAGTGCTTATTATGGCTATATTGATGGCCTTGATGTTCTCTTTGACTGCTGGAGGTAAGT